TCCGACACCCGCGAATCCATGGCGGCCAGCGCGGCCCCGCCGCCCCGGTGCGGCGCCCGCTCCGCTCCGCTCCCCGCCCGGCTCCGCCGCCCCGGCGTCACCGACCGCCGCGCGGCGCCCCGGGAAAGCGAGTCCCGCCCGCCTACAACGCCGAGAACGCACCGCGCGCGGCCCGCTCCAAACTACAGCTCCCGGCGTGCCCCGCGGCGCGACCCGCTCGCTGCCGTACAGGATCCCTCCGCGGGGGCGCATGGGAGTTGGAGTCCGAGGGAAGGCGCGCCGCCTGCCGGCCGCGGCGGACAGCGTACGGGATGCCGCCGCTCCCCGGGCCCTGCCCGCCGGGGCCTGTCGGGGCCCGCAGGTTTCCCCTTTGGCATTGCACAGCCCTGGGTTCCCTGTTCATTGACAGCGAACGGTCGGCACCCGACCCAGCTGGCATCGGGACACTGGTGCATTTTCGAACCTGTGTGCCATCGGAGATGCCTCATGAATACACAGAGGCAGCAGCTCTGTGCGAAGCAATCCCAAAGGACGCATTATGCTCGTACCGGGGGGCGGCAGAAACAGCAAAAGACTCTCCTGCTGTGCGCCGCACCCCCTCACCGAGTGTTTTTCCAGTCTCCATTTCCACCGCTACCGCGCCTCCTCTTCCTCCGCCGCATCCGCTGAGGCGGACGGCGCTGGGTCAGTGTTTGTACACCTGCCACACTCTGTGACGCTGTCAACAACAACCCGCTGCGAGAGGCGCCCGCCCTCCCCTCGCCGTGTGCTGGAGGCGGTACCCAATGAGCGCAATGTTTCCAAACACGGCGCTCCCTGCGTGCTCCCCGCCTCCCCGCGGCGCGGCGAAGTCAGTTCCTTCGCAAGGGCTGCCGGGGAGCGGGGCGGAGGCCAGCGCAGCGGCTCCCGGGGAGCCCCGGGCAGCGATGCCGCCACTCCCGGTACCGCCTCAGCGGGGCGGGCACGCCATCCGCGGGGCAGGGCCAGCCCGTTCGGTCACGCCCACATGGGGCGGGGCTCCACCGGGGCCCAGCCTCCTGCCGCGCCCGCGCGCGCCACCGCCCCCCTTTCCAGCAGTCGCTGCGCCTCCTCCCCTGCCGCCGCCGGAGGTCGCGCGGGGCGGCCCGCGCGCCGCTCCCGTGAGCCCCCGCGGCGGCCGCGGCATTTAAAGCCGGTCCGGCCGTTGGCTGGGGCGTGGTCGTGGTTTACGTTTCCTTGTCGCTGCCGACGCTGGATCGCAGGATGAGGTCCCGGCGGAGCAGGTCGGTGCCGGGCACCCCCGCGGTGTCCGTGGCGTTTCCGGGCGCCGTGCGCCGGGGAAGCGGCTGCCGCTTCGCCTGCGAGCTCCTCAAGCATGTGCTGCACCAGCGGAACCAGCTCCCGCTGCCCTACGAGCAGCTCACCTACTTCTGCCGGCGGGCGGCACAGGTGAGGCGACCCTCGGGGTGGGAGGTCGGCGGGGCGGCCGTGGTGCTGGAGTTCTGCCTGTGAGCTCCTGTTCTCGTACTGTAACGTGTCGGTGCATCTAAAGGAAAGCGCTCGTTATAGCTACATCCCTAAACGTTACGTCTTCTTCTAAAAAAAAAAAAAGGCAAGGGCAACGTTAAGGTCAGGCTGCTGAAGGTCTCGGCAAGTTTCTCTTTATCGCTTGTTATGCTCCTCTGTGCTGAAGGCATGTCGCTGCTTTGGCTGATCTTTGAAAGATAGGGCTTCTATTTTTTGTGGGAATTTGTTTCTACTGTGATTTGGATTCAAACTGAGTGTTTGTCAAATAGGGTGTGCTTTTGTGTTCCTCTTTTGTCTCTGATTCTCTATGTGAGTGAGTACCTATAGCTCTCAAAAGGAACACAACCCCCTTGTTCCTTGTGGGATGGGCCATGCTTTCTGCAGAGCATATTGGGACTAATACATCCTTATAACTAAGTGTACTAACCTGTTTGTTTGTTTTCCAGGATGGAGATGGGATTGAGAAGCCACCCTCCATGGGCCTGGGAAGCAGCAAGTGCCAGCAGGTGCTAATGGAGCTGGAGGGATTGTTCCAGCATCTGGAAGTCATGTTTAGTTTGACACTGGTTCCCCGGGTTCTTTTCCTACTTGGAGGAAATGTCATGAACCCCAAGGAGCTCTATGAGCTGAACTTAGAAGGGATCTGCGAGGGCAGTGCTGAGGAGAGCCTACAGACTGCACCCTGTGTTCGCCAGCTCTTTCACAGCCTTTTTGTTGCAGACGTCTTCAGTGAACTGAAGGCTCTCCCTGTCACAGGCACGCTCGTCCTAGTCCAGGGCCACCGGGACTGTGGTGTTGAGTGGTTCCGGCCCAAACTGAACTACAAAGTGCCAACGCGAGGGAGGAAGCTAACTGTTAGATTGTCCTGTGAGGGAGACCCCCACCTCAGTGCCTCACCTCCACAGCATACAGCACCTGAGTGGGAGGACTACATCTGGTTCCAAGCACCAGTGACCCTCAAAGGCTTTAGTGAATGACTGGGCTCTGTAGATGTCTAATTGGAATATTAATTACCCTTTGTTAAGTGTTAATTTTATCCAGTGTAACCATGTATCTTTTTCTGTCTGAATTTTTTTTCTCCAGAGCGTTTACTGTCTTCGTGTAGCTTGGCTGCACTCATCTCCCATCACTTCCTGACTTCTTGTTGAAGGCAAATCCCCTTTAAGGCAAAGGTGCAGTGATTCCTTAGGGACTTGAGCTGTAGCAGAGCAGATGAATTAGTGTGTTGGGATGCACCCTGCTGTGTGCTTAGAAGCAGTTGCAGCTCTTGGTACCCCATTAACTGCTGCAGTGCCTACCCCACTTGAGTAATCAAGTGATTGTCCATCTATTTAATAAAATTAGACCTCCACACAACTCTATTTCAGTTCCTTAATGTTCCAAAGAGTGAGATTTCTCAGCAGTTGGGAGATCTTGTACCTAGTGCTATCCTCTACTGGAAACTGAAAGTGCTTGACCAGTTCTGTGGAGGCAGGGTAGCAATAAGCAATATTTTTTTTTTTTTAACAAATCCTCAGTCCAACAGCCCTGACAATCACTTAGATATACAGATACAATTAAAAGTAAGCAGTTTTTGCTAACCCTCTTCAGAAAAGGAGTTCTGCCTCAATAGTGTAACTTATTCTCACTAAACAACAAAGTAAGCAAGTTTCTTGCTTGCTTTTATCTCTTACAAGTCTTGGACCTAAACTTTTCTAGAATGGGTAGAAGTCAGGGGATTGTGATGAAGTTCAGCACTATCTTTATCTGCCAAATTCCTGTTCCAAGTCATATTATATCACTTGGAAGCAGATTTGAGCCTGTTCTTCTGAGCTGTTGTCAAGTGCAGAACAGGACAGGGAGAGAAATCCTTAGAGTGTGGTGTGTTATAAGTAGACACATGCCTAGCTGACTGAAGATGTAACAGCTATCTGTGATGTAATGAGCTTTTAATAGTTTCAAATAACTGTCCCATATGAAGAGAAACTTGAGCCTACTGGTAGTGAAGGTGCTTGCAGTTAGTAGCCGAAATTGCACAATGGGATGGTAAAAATCCTTTGAAAAGAGTGTAAAGGTTTGATGTAACCCTCTGCACTTGGTGCATATTTTAACTTTGACCTTTTGGAATGGATTGAGATTATAGAACTGGGAGGAACTTGATTTGATATTTTTGAACTTGGAGAACACCAGGAGTGCTGTCTCTGCCATATTATCCATTACTGCACATTGTAAACAGTTGTTAGCTGCTAAAACTTGTTCTAGGGGAGAAACTGCTAGAATGAAGAAAGCTGCCTTTTGTGCAGTTGTCCACTTGAATATGTAATCACAGGTTTTTGAATGAAATATAACTTGAACATAGGAGTGTTTGTGCTCAAGAGATCAAAACCCTTTAGACTTCCACCAAAGCTGCTTGTAATACATATTTAAGAATGCTAGTGCCCAAGTATTAAAGCTTTTGAACACAAGCCTTAGCCAGTTTCTTTCACGTCTCTGTCCCAGTTGAATGCAATGTTACTGCAATAAACTGTTTACATATTCTGTTATACTTGAACTGTGAATTCAGCAATGATATGGTGCTGGGAATGAAAGAACACAAGATGCTTTTGGGGTTTTTAATTTTTTTTTGTTTTTTCTCCTTATAAAAATCTTTACAGCTTGATTAACAAGTTTAGTACTGTAATTATTATCAAAATAAAATGACAGTTTCTATATGTGGTTATATTGGATTTATTTAACCCCTCAAAGCGAAGGTTCTGCTGGTGCCAGAACAACTTGCTTCCATTCTATGCATGTATTTAAACTGCAGGTTTACAGCTGTTCCACTTTTCTGACAAACTGCATGATGTCTTGTGCCAGAAGCTTTGGTTCCTCAAAGGCAGCAAAATGCCCTCCACGTGGCATGTAAGAGTAAGTGATGATGTTCTTGTAGACATCCTTTGCCCAGGTACGTGGTGTATGAACTATCTCCTGAGGAAAAGCCGCAATCCCTGTGGGGACATGTACACCAAACCTAGAAGACATAAGTTAATTGCATTTTTGAAACAAATCCCAGGGAAAGTCTATAAAAACTTTCTGACTGGTAACTGCCAGTTTCACCACAGCAACACACTTTGTGGTCTGCACTCTGCTGAAGGGCTTCACTTCTGTTTGGGTGTCCTTGAGTTTAAGAAGGTTATACCCAAAGATGTGTAAAGCAGAGCTAACTTTGCACACAGTTTGATCTTTAAATGTTTCAGGTCTTTGAACTTAGGTTGTTCTGTAATTTTGTGCTATGTGACGAGATGCTGCACCTCTGTGTGAAAGTCAGAAATGAACCAGCTCACGTTTGATTTAAACTTGTGGTACCAAATGTGTAACAAATGACTCTGGAGAGGGAAGGTAGATGGGTTCAGTCACAAAGAAAAACACTGTCCCATTTGTTTGTATCATCTGTTGCTTGGAGAAATCCACTCAGCAATGGTCAGCCTCTCCTAAAGTCATCTTAACATACCAGCTGTCAAGAGGTGCTTGGTTTCAAGCACCGCTCTCCAAAATCCTTCCCCAAGTTTGTGCTTAACCACTGTAGTTCTTAGTTTATCCTCCAGCAAGCCATATCCTTCCTTATTCAGTTTAAACTTCTCTCTTGGATATGCCCATGATTTTGTTTTGTTTTTACTGAACTGAGCTAGAGGATACATTTGTTTGGTGAATAACTATGTAGACCTGTATTTTGAACACAAGACTGCATTTGATGCTTTGACAAGAATGTATTGTCTTGGTTGCAAGCCACCTTGTGCGAATTATAGGTTCAAAAGAAAAGTGACTCTTAACTATATTTATCGAAAGAAAATAAGAACTTCGATTTTTGTTTTTCTTTTTTCCTGAGTTAGATGTGCTGTTGTAAGTGATCTAAATGTTTCCATCTCATTTGCAAATCTGTCTTGCACCTACCATTTCATTACCTGTTATAAGCATTTAGATGAGGGTCCTTGGAAAAGTTCTCCTTGTAGTATCGCATTGAGGACACAATGGAGGATGTCACCCAATAAATCATCACATTGGTCAAAAGCTCATCAAGAGAGTATTTGCTGTTGAGAGAGAAGGATGAAGAAATTTAACCGGAAGCTATTTCTCAATGCACTGTATTGAGCTCATGTCCTGAAGTTGTTCCTCTTGTTCTCCACTCATTTTCAAGCAGCGAATTAATCCGCACCCATGTGCCCAGAGCAAAAACACCTTGTTCTGAAGCAATGGTTTGCAGACAGTCTGCTATAAGTTTAAGCTACTACTTGTCATTTGTAGTCTTTCATCCTTAAATTTCAGATTTGACTGGCCAATCTTTTACCTGAATCCTCGTATTGGTTATCATCACTCATTCTTTTAATGAGACTTTGCATGGAATAACATCTGTTTTCTTACCTTTCTAAGCCTCCATCATCTTTATGCAGAAATGATTTATCCGTCCAGGTGGAGAATTTCTCCAAAATATATGCAGCAAGCCCCACCGGAGAGTCATTCAGTCCACAACCTAATTCAGGAGAACAGAAGGGCTATTGCAGTTGCCTGGCATTGCGATACTTCAGTGGGAGTTAAAGTGGACTTTCGTAAGTGTTCAGTTTTCTATGAGAATTCAGTAGAGAGTCTGTATTTTACCACACCTGATAGTACTTTATTCATGACAAATTCCCCCCAGGGGAATTCCAGCTGTAACCAGTGGCACTACAAACTCAAGTAATTCCTATACAAAAGAAGCTAGGAACTAAGAAAGTCCTGTTGGCTTCTTGGTAATGTGTGGCAGAAGCAAATTCAGATGTAAAGGGATTACACTCTGAAAAGAAATTTCAGATAAAATATTTGGGAGCACTGTCCTGTTTTGAATGGGCAACCAGGACTGTTAGTGCTGTTCATCACTTTTTATCTAATTTAAACAGTGGAATGTTGAGTATCTGTTATCTGTTCCTCCCTTTGGGAACATTAGCAAACATTATAAATATAGAAATACAGTATGAAGAATCCTAGGCTATGAGCAGCATCCATAGAAGCACTGTATAGTCACTTCAGTCTTTCTCCCCTTTATGTATTCTTCTGATTCTAAAATATAATTATGAAATAGGGTTAACAGGGATGCAACAGATTGAGTATCATGGATTTAGTGTTTTCTTTTTTTATTCTCTTTAACAGTTTATAAGATTCTCTTAAACTCTGAGCAGGCTGATGTTTCTCATGGATTCTCTCATATGGCAGAAGCCAAACTTGACCCTATTGTGATTTTCTTCCTCTACTTAAATTGCTTTGGACTTTGTTAACATCGATTTTTATTGGCTGGTTTTATCAATCGGTCACTTATATGTTTTTTTGCAACTCTACAGTTATCTTTAGATTAAACCAAACTTTGGATAGCTGTCAATTCTTCACCTAATCATTAACTTTTATTTAAAGAGAAATCAGGATCATGCTGAAATTTATAGGTGCCAGCACAGATTTTTGTGATACTCTCCCTCCCCTGGAACTTGCTTATTTATTCCTATGCTCGGATTCTCATGTTGACTAGTTTTAATCCTTTTCTTAAGGCAGTTTAATTTCTTAAGAACACTGGAGGAATCTCAACAAAGTATTTTCTGGAAGTTATATAAGTTCCATTACTGGACCCACACTCTTTGATTCTGCCAGAGCTCTGATTTTTGAAGTATGATTTCCCTGTGATATTATCACCTGTAAATCAGTTCTCCTCTTTAAAATAGCTCTGCTAGTTTTCTGATCAGAGACTAGACATACTAGTCTTCATTTTTCTCAGGTTACCTTCACTGTTTGGCCCTTAAAAAAACCCCAAACAACCAGAAATGCTGCCACCACAACCTCCTTCCAAACTGGTATCTTGTTTTTCTCCTTTTTTTTCTTTGGTATTGCAATTACTTCAAGCAACAGACTAGACATTAGTTGACATTTCAGTTTAAAATTTTTCTTCTTCAGTGAATTGCCAGGATGGGGTGCTATTTGTTCTATGGTCTCCCCAGCTGACAGCTGTGCTGTCTTTCCTGACAAGGGGTTATTTCAATAAAGCAATACCCCAAAATCCTCTCCAGTGGGGACTGATGCAAATAATTTAACTTTTATGAAATGGCCCTATCTTTCTTCATACTCCTTATCTACTGGATCCAACATATCAGGCTTCTGGCTTTTCACGTGTTAGGGCTGTGCCTACCTTTCTGCAAGTTTCACATTGCACTTACTTGCTTTGGATATTTTTCTTGTTTTCAACCACATTTATTTCTAGAAGCTTCAATTTCAAGACTCTGTGCTTTACTTTAGGAGACTTTTTGGAAAGGGGTTCTTTGCCTGAGAGAAGTGGCATGCTATTTAAAAGGCCTTGAAAAGTGATATTTGAAATCTCCATCTTTTTTTGAGCTGTTCCTTTTAATTTTGTTTTACACAGTTCTTGTCCCCATGAACTCACTGCCCACATGGGTCTTGCACTCAGTCATCAAAACTTATTGCTTCTCAAACTTGGTTGGCCTTTGTTTACTGTGAGATTTTTGTATACCATAAGCATTTACTCTACAATCTTCACAGTGATAGAGAGAAGGTACATTACCTGCAGTGTCTGGTTTGGTGGCTTGGATGTGTAAATATCCAGACTCTCGCAGAATGTCATAGACGTTCTTCTGCACGAAAGGGTAGATACGTCGAGCATCTTCCCTACTGAGGCCTACAAGCCATGGTACATAAGCTCCAAGCATTATGGAAATCAGCCTTCCCAAACTTTGTTTGCCAAGGAAGACAATATTCAGATGAAGCCCTCTCACAGATCTAAAATTAGGTTAACGAATAGAAGGTTAAATCAAGTGATTTTCTGTCTTCAGATTTTCTAGAAAACACGCCTGACTGGAGCGGTGTTAAAAGCATTTCACCGAGACAAATACACAAAGCCCTTCAGGTTTATCATGATTCAAAAAATGGCAGTTAGAAATGGTCCCATGTCCATGCAGCTGTGCCACTGGTATGATGTTAGCTTCAGCTACTCAGTTTCTGGATGTGGCATATCCACGCTGGTAGCTCTGGCTGTTGATCTTGTGTTGTTCCATGCTGTAGGGAACAGGCTGTGCTGGGTATTTTCTAAAAAGCACGAGTAGACCACATGTGGCCACTGTGTTCTGGGCGTTGTGCAGCACAACTGCAATTGGGAAGAGAGAGCTCCTCAGCCTGTAATCTACTGCTTTAGGACCTTTCCCACTTTATCTATTCTCTGACCCAAGTGTGGCTGTGGTGCCTGGAGAGCATTAAATGCCTCTTCAGCACTAAGCTGTGATGCTATCTTCTGAAGAAGGTATTGTGCTTCTTTTCCAACCAGTCTCAAATCTGCATTTTACATAGGAAAGTCCTATACTTTGTGTGTTTAGCAGCTGAAAGGCTGAATTCCTCCCTTCCTTTTCTCTGTGCTGATTTTAAATTTATCTCCGTCCTCATTTAGAATGATGATCTGTCTCCTTGAGATCTCAAATCAAAACACAACAGAGTTTACTTCCATGTCTAGTGAAAGAGAGCCAAACAGCACTGAAATTTAGAAAGCACAAGAACTGTGCCAATATCAATGCAAAGCATATGAATACAATTGAATATGCGAGGTGGGTTTGTTCCTGAAGGAAACAGCAGAAGGGGATGAGATGCAGGGCAAACAGAAGGCAGGACCATAGAGCCAGAAGGTAGGGTAAGAACTGGAGGCAGCTTTTCTGCA